TTTAGTTTCAGTTTCAGTGGTTTTATATTGTGCAAATGCTTTATAGCATTTAGCTTGGTAATCGTACTCTATACTGTCGCATGTATCTCATGTATCTATCTATCTTGCTTGTTTTGCCTTTGAGAAGATAAAAAAGTTTCATTTAATATCAACAAATTTTAGCAAATGACATCAAGCAACGTGAGCTGATGTGACTTTAATTGCAGTGTAGGTTATTTTTTTTCACATAATTTTCCTTCTTATTTTCATTTCATTCTATTTCTATGTTTTTTTTCAATTTACACTTATTTTGGGTTTTTCATTCCTTGTTCTTTGCCAAGGATTTATCTGAGTCCACGTACGGCAAACATTGCAACTTGTTTGTTTGCCCGAAAGTATCTTTCTGTCGTAGAGTTGAGTTTGTCAACATGAAGCCATTGTGTAGGATTTCGAATGCATTCACAGCTGTTTGTGTGTACTTGCGTAATTGCACATTTGTAAGTTGTAAAATTTGTAAATGTCTCACCGAAAGTCTGTTTCATATTTCAAATGTCAGAGATATTTCAGTATGAAGCAGTAGATATTAAAAAGAATAAACTAAGCAAAACAATATATACATGCCTTAAGCTTGCAAAAAAAAAACTATTTATTATAGAACACTTAAGGTCATAATTTGCACTGGTATTTACAGAAAACTCAGGGTTGTGTTTTAGCCATTTTTATTTTCTTGGACAAGTCATTTGTACTAATAAAATGATTTAAGAAACTGTACTTACGAACCTATACGAATTCTATTCATTGTTAATCAACAAGTAATGTTTTTAATCGGCGATATTAGAAGTATACAGAATTACGTGGAAGATGCTGTTATGCTTAAGATGCTCATTTAAAAACGCTGTTATAAAAAAAAGTGCTCCAAAAGTAATATACACAGAAGGTTTCGTCAGTTATATATTTAACCTAACCACCCAACTTATTCAACAACTCAAGAAATAGTTAAATAATCTTGCACTGAGGTTATGATTTTGAACGTCAAGCCAACGTCAAATATGCACAGAGTATGTGGATTATCTATCTCCACTTGGAAGTCAGGGTCATGGACATCCACACTTCAGAAAAATGTAGAGCGTTTGTTAATAGAGGCTATGGAAAATAAAGCGCAAGATTTTTGCATTGCGGGCTTAAAAAAATCAATTAGAGAAGGACGTAAAACCGCACGAAAATTATTCAGTCCTGTCTGATCGTTTGCAGGTCAATTCATTAGTTCAAAGTTATTATTAGGAGACATTTCTGTCACAGTAGTGTTGCTGTTAAATAAAACTGCTGTATTAAGTCTGAAAAAGTCTAATAGTGATCCTTCAATTAACTACATACCTCAAAAACTCGGCTCTGTAATGTAGTTTATGTTGAAGTTACATTTCTTAAAAGAAAAAGAAAACTACATTCACCGCAATGGCACCATAGATATAACTAACACGTTTTTGTGTGAAAATTGTATGAACAAAGTCTGGAAGCCTTTTAATTTAGACGATGGTTATGAAATTAAATCTGTGTTTGCTAAAGGATATATTTGACGATCTAACAGAATCTTGAGAAATAGGATCCATGCTTGGGTACTAAAATTATGTGATTTGAAGTCACTGAACCGAATTGCAAGTGACTATTTTTGTCAGTCAAGACCTATAAGTTATTCCCTCTTGATGGATATAGTAAATTCTTTGAATTTTTTTAGAGTTGTCGGCTACATTAATTCAGACGTTGCGGAGATGCGTTTGTTTGCCCAGACTTACTTAGTTTCTCTAACAATCTCATTCTTCTACACTTTTTTTTTTAATAGCGATTGGTGTTTTGTCATTTTGTCTGCCAAACAAACGGATCTTGTTGAAGACAACTCCAATTATGTAATATAATCCAGTGACCTGGTTATTTTGGTATATTAAATGCCTTGTTTTTTAATATCAGTGTTGATGCTGCAACTACTTGATTTTCTACCACATCCAATGTAGACTGATTAAAGAGTATCTCAAGTTTTACCCTAAAGCACCTGCAATGCAAAGAAAGCTATTCTTTAAATCAAGCTCAAATTCTTCAAACGGGTAGTTTTCGGTATAAATAACTGTCGTTATATAGCAATCCAAATGTTAGGCCTGCATGTTGCAGTGAACAATCATTGCATTTTTTCGAGTTCAATCCCTACCTGATATTGAGTGTATTTTTGTAGATGCTTAAAGCAGCAATAATGTTTTGTACTCTATCCTTAAGATTAAGTTTCCAGATGATTTTTTTATTTTATTATTTTTTTTTATACTCCTTGATATTTAATTTACACGTACAAGTATGTAGATACATTATATAAACAGATACATTATCTGGTTAAATACAAGTATATAAAGTTATATATTCCTCTTTGCGGAATATAGGACAGCAACAAATTCCCTTAAGCTTTGTCGCTTTTGTG